CCAGTATTCCAAATGGTCTCTCACTAAAGCCCTATGTAGATGGATAGGACCTCCGTTTTGCTGATGTTGATACCTCTGGTGATGCATCCCAGAATGTTTTCTGCCTTCAAAGCTGCCTGGCCACACTGTTTACTTTTTTGGAGTTATCATTTTTTCAGTGCCAGTGTAACTTTTTTCACATAGTTGTGTAAAAAAAGTGATGCTTGAATTCATTTATTAAAACACAGAATAGCGTTGTGGAAATACCTTTGTGTCTGGTCCAACGTTCTGCCACACAGGGAGCATTAAAGTAAATAGTGTCAACTCTGAAAACAACTCTAAGGTAAAGGTTCCCCTCACACATATGTGCTAGTCATTCCCGACTCTAGGGGGCGGTGTTCATCTCTGTTTCAAAGCCGAAGAGCCAGCGCTGTCCGAAGATGTCTCCATGGTCATGTGCCCAGCTAAATGTCAAAGGCGCACAGAATGCTGTTATCTTCCCACCAAAGGTGGTCCCTATTTTTCTATTTGCATTTTTTATGTGCTTTCGAACTGCTAGGTTGGCAGAAGCTGGGACAAGTAATGGGAGTTCACCCTGTTATGCGGCACTGGGATTCGAACCGTTGAACTGCTGACGTTTCTATTGACAAGCTCAGCGTCTTAGCCACTGAGCCACTGCGTCCATCCAAAATGACTCTAGCTGAAGCCATTTTTTTTGCTTCATTTCATTTCATTTCATTTCATTTCATAGAATAATAATAATAATAATAATAATAATAATAATAATAATAATAATAATAATAATAATAATAATAATTTTATTTCTATACCGCCCTTCTCCCGAAGGACTCAGGGCGGTGTACAGCCAATTTAAAAACACAAGACACAACAATAATTAAAAATTAAAATAATTAAATAGATTTGGCCGATTTAAAACCCCAAAAATTAAAATACCCCAATTTAAAATTATTATATTGACAGCCCTGCCTGGCGGAACAACAGGGTCTTCAGTGCGCAGCGGAACACCCGGAGGTCGGAGATCTTACGTATTTCCGGGGGCAGTTCATTCCACAGGGTTGGGGCTCCCACAGAGAAGGCCCTCCCCCTGGGTGTCGCCAGCCGACATAACTTGGCTGATGGCACCCTGAGGAGACCCTCTCTGTGGGAACGGACTGGTCGGTGGGAGGCTATTGGTGGCAGAAGACGGTCTCGAAGGTACCCGGGTCCTGTGCCATGGAGCGCTTTAAAGGTGGTAACCAACACCTTGAATCGCACCCGGAAGACCACTGGGAGCCAGTGCAGCTCGCGCAGGAGGGGTGTCACGCGGGCACAACGAGGTGCGCCCATAACCACCCGCGCAGCCGCATTCTGGACCAGCTGGAGCCTCCGAGTGCTCTTCAAGGGGAGCCCCATGAATAGAATAGAATAGAATAGAATAGAATAGAATAGAATAGAATAGAATAGAATAGAATAGAATAGAATAGAATAGAATAGAATAGAATAGAATAGAATAGAATAGAATAGAATTTTTTTTTGGCCAAGTGTGATTGGACACACAAGGAATTTGTCTTGGTGCATATGCTCTCTGTACATAAAAGAAGATACATTCATCAAGAATCATAAGGTACAACACTTAATGATAGTCATAGGGTGCAAATAAGCAATCAGGAAACAATATCAATATAAATTGTAAGGATACAAACAACAAAGTTGTAGTCATACAGTCATAAGTGGAAGGAGATGGGTGGTGGGAACAATGAGAAGATTAATAGTAGTGCAGACTTAGTAAATAGTTTGACAGTGTTGAGGGAATTATTTGTTTAGCAGAGTGATGGCATTCAGGAAAAACCTGTTCTTTGTCTAGTTGTTCTGGTGTGCAGTGCTCTATAGATCACTGTTATAGACCGATCACTGTTGTGTCATCTGCAAAGTTCAGTAGTTTAACAGATGGATCGTTAGAGATGCAGTCATTGCTTTACAGAGAGAAGAGAAGTGGGGAGCGAAAACAGCCTTGGGGGGCCCTGTGCTAATTGTACAGGTATCTGATGTGATTCTGCTTAGCTTCACCTGCTGCTTCCTGCTTGTTAGGAAGCTTATGATCCACTTACAAGTGTGTTCAGGTACCTGTAGCTGGTTTAGCTTAGTTAGAAGAATGTCTGGAATGATGGTATTGAATGCTGAACTAAAGTTTACAAAGAGGACCCTTACGTAGGTCTTTGGAGATTCAAGATGTTGTAGGATATAGTGCAGAGCCATATTAACAGCATCATCTGTTGATCTATTTGCTCGGTATGCAAATTGCAAGGGGTTTAACAGCAGATCCGTGATGGTTTTCAAGTGGGACAGCTCTAGCCTTTCAAAGATTTTCTTGACTACAGATGTTAGAGCAACTGGTCTGTAGTCATTCAGTTCCTTGAAGGTGGGCTTCTTCGGCACTGGGATGATAGTAGAGAGTTTGAAGCAAGAAGGAACATAGCACATCTCTAGCGATTTATTGAAGATTCGGGTGAAGATGGGGGCCAATTGGTCAGCACAGACTTTTAGGAAGAAGGAGTTATCTTGTCTGGGCCTGGAGCTTTTCCTGGCTTTTGTCTGTGAAATAGGTCTTGTACTTCCTTTTCTGTGATCACTAGGGGTTATGAACCCAATGGGATGGGATCCGTTGTAGGAGGCTTGGCTGTTGTTGGTGTGTCTGAGATGGGGGTTGTGGAGATAGGTGTCTGTAGTTTCCTTTCAAACCTGCAGTAAAACACGTTCAGGTCATCTGCCAGTTGTTGATTTCTTTCAGCCTGGGAAGGAGGTTTGCCGTAGTTTTCCACATATTTGCTGATTCATTTGTTGAGAACTGATTCTTTAGCTTTTCACAGTAGTTTCTTTTTGCTGCTCTGATCTCCCTTGTTAATACATTTCTGGTCTGATTGTACAGCATTTTATCACCTTTTCTGTAGGCTTCCTCTTTGGAATGACGTAGCTGCTTAGCTGTGAACCAAGGTTTATTCTTAGTGAATATTGGCAAGTTCCTGGTCGGTACACATATGTCTTCACAGAAGCTGACATATGATGTTACAGTATCTGTGTGTTCATACAGGTCTGCAGAGGTATCTTCAAAAATATTCCAATCAGTGCAGTCAAAGCAAGCCTGTAGCTTTAACTTTCCCTCCTCAGTCCAAGTCTTCACTGATTTAATTGTTAGTTTTGTGGTTTTAAGTCTTTGCCTGTAAGCAGGTACAAGGTGAATCATGCAATGATCAGAGTGTCCTACAGCTGCTCATGGTAAAGACTGATAAGCATCTTTTGGTGCTGTGTAGCAATGGTCTAAAGTTATTGCCTCTAGTGGGACAATTGACATGCTGAAAGTATTTTGGTAGCTCTTTCCTTAAGTTGGCCTTGTTTAGCTCTCCCAAATTAATGGCCAGTGAATCGAGTATTTGGCTTCAGCCTCCATAAGTTGGTCAGCTAGAATTCGTAATGCCTTCTTTACACAGGCTTGTGGTGGAACATAAACAGCACAAGTAGAAGAAATGAGGAAAATTCACAAGGCGAATAGTATGGTTTGCAGTTGATAATTAATGTCTCTAGGTTTTTGTCACAGAATTTATATATTATAGTTATATCCTGAGACCAGCTGTTGTTGATATATAAGCAAAAGCCTCCTCCCTGGCAGGAGGGAGTGCTGAGAACTTCATCTTCTTCTTTCTTGGCTAATGTAACCTGTGAGACTTGATTTGGTTGGGAGTGTTACTGGGAACTATGACAAGTAGTTTTATTAAGGGAAAGCGGTGGTAGGGAAATGTGGATGAATATTAAGTTCTCATAGCTAGGTAGCCAACCCAGGCAGTCCCTGATTTACAATAATTTATTAAGTAACCATTCAAAGTTACAAGCTAACATTACAAATGATCAATCAAGAAGGAAGATCTTTGGAAAATAATGGGGACCAAAATAACATGAAATTAAGAACTAATTTTAAAAAATTCCTTCAGTGGTGAAATCCAATTTTTTTTACTACCGGTTCTGTGGGCATGGCTTGGTGGGCATGGTGTGGCTTGGTGGGCATGGCAAGGGAATGATACTGCAAAATCCCCATTCCCTCCCTGGGGGAATGATATTGCAAAATCTCCATTCCCACCCCACTCTGGGGCCTGCCAGAGGTGGTATTTGCCGGTTCTCAGAACTACTCAAAATTTCTGCTACCCGTTCTCCAGAACCTGTCAGAACCTGCTGACTCATCCCTCGAGTCCCCTAATCATCTTTGCTGCTCTTCTCTGCACTCTTTAGAGTCTCAACAACTTTTTTACAACGTGGAAACCAAAATTTTTAAAAAATCAATAAATAAAAATCATTTTCTTCATTGTGGCCTTCCTGCTGGTGTCCCATCTTCCTCTCTTCAGGCCGGAGTTTGCAAGAACCGCAAGACACAAACTGGGTTTCCCAGAGAGCCTCCTGGTCCTCTTCTGACTGCCCAGCTGTTTCTGACAGGATTTGGCCCCTTTTGAGACCTCCCCCAATCTCTGCCCAGCCTTCAGGGCAGCTGTTCTTGAAGGAAGCGAGTTCAAATTCTCCAGAGAGATTTTTCTCCATCTCCACAGACGGTTCCTGGACAGGAAGGAGAGGAAGATGGATAAATTGCTGCCTCTGCAAACCACAAAGCTTTTCTTGGGCAGGGCGGCATTGAGAGGGACCTTTCCTCCTATTCCCATGCCCATCATCCCTGCCCTTTCCTCAGATGCGCTCCTCTTTCCCCCACTTTGCAGGGAATCCTGTAAATTTACCCAAAATCCACCAGGGGGCATTTTCTGCCAAGAGAAGAGAACATCGGGCTTCCCCATTGGCCCACTGGAGGGCGAAGATCACAGCTGCCTTTCCAGAGGAGGCTGCAAAGGAAGTGACATCGCAAACACTTGCCGCTCTAGGATGTCTCCTTAACCCCTGGAGCTCTGCAGGAGGCGCAGAGGCTGCAGGAGGGTCTGGCAGGGGGAGATCCAGATGTGCCCCAGGTGAGAAGGAGGATGTTCACAGACAGAGGGAGGCGGAGAAGGAAGAGACCGACTTCTCTGGAAGCTTGGTTAGGTGGCTCAGTGGCTAAGACATTGAGTTTCTAGATCAGAAAGGACGGCAGTTCGGGAGTTGGAATCCCTAGTATAGGTCTCCTGTGTGAGTAGGGGATTGGACTACATGACCTCCAAAGTCCCTTCCAACTCTGTTACTGAGTCCCATGGTCCCCTGCTGCCCTCCCCATGCAGGGAACATGGGGGATGCCGGTGGGGATCCAGAGATCCCTTCCCGCCCCATGTCCAGGGAAGTGACCAAGTGGGGGAAGAGGAGGGTCGGCTTTGCAGAGGCCCAGCAGGAGAGAAGAGAAGCCGGGTGAGTAGGCAGGAATCACACCCGGTTCCCTGAGAGTCCGATCCTCCACAGCCCGGCCTGTCTCGCAGAGGGAGAGAAGCGGGATGGCCTCTCCAGCTGCCTGCTTCCGAGCCCTGCTATGAGGACCTCAATCCTGCGCTGGGGCTCCGGGCAGGTTGGAGGAAGGTTGTTCAGTTCTACTTTCTAAATTCTACTTTCTAATTCTTGGTGTTGATTTTTCTTTCCATCTCAGATACAGAAGCTGGAAGCCATTTGAAGTCCTTCCAAGGATTTTTCTTGGGGGGGAAAAGAGCAGAATAACTTGCAGCGATCAGTCCTGCAGCACCAGAAATGGTTCTGTGAAGGAAAAGGCATCTGGAGACCCACCAGAGTCCTTGGAGCCATTTGGAGTTGTTCTGCAGGACAGAGAAAGGATGGAGACACAACCTTTTGGAAAGGAGGGAAGTGGAAAAGATCCTTCAGCTGTTCAGCCTGGGAAAGCGGGGAAGCTCTGGACAAGGACTGGGCAGGAGATCCTGGAGGAAACTATCCTCCCTTCAGAAGTTCAGCCCTGGAATTTCATCCAATGCCAGGAGGCTGAAGGTCCTCGAAGATTTTGCAGCCACCTCCATCACTTTAGTAGGCGATGGTTGAGATCAGAAAAGTACACCAAAGCCCAGATGCTGGACCTGGTGGTTCTGGAGCAGTTCCTGGCTCTTCTGCCCCCAGAGATGGAGAGCTGGGTGCGGGAGTATGGAGCAGAGACCAGCTCCCAGGCAGTGGCCCTGGTGGAAGGCTTCCTCCTGAGCCAGGCGGAGGAGCAGAAGGAGCAGGTCGAGTTGCAGGTGAGATACTTTAGGAAGCTCAAAAGAGAATAGAGAATGTGTTTGAATACTTCACCCCTCCTTCCCAAACATCTCTGACATTCATAATATGTGGCGATGTCCCACCAATTCTTGTAGGACGTTGTTCCATTGTTTTCTCACTCAACCACACTGATGGATATTGGGGGCTTTGAGGTTGTGTTCCGAATATAGGAATGTACTTTATGTTGTGATGTACATTAATTCTGCTTCTTCCATCCTTCCTCCTATTGGAAGTGCTGCACTATGGAGATCAGAGATCCTGAGAGAAAGAAGAATCCATCAAATCCCTCTCAGGAGCTATTGTTCAGGAGGATCCCTTGGGAAGATCAAACTCAGGACACCTCAGGAGGTAATTTAAGATCCTCCAATTACCCATATGTCTTAACATCGTTCTCTCTTCTATACAATACCTCCTCCTATTTATACTTCTCTGCACTAATTTCATCTGCAGATAATCGCCCAGCGACTCTCTTTAGGTGAGCCTCCTCCTCCTGGAGAAGGAGGAGATTGAGGTCCACCTGAAGGGGACTGCTGGGGAATTGGTGGTTTTTCTGGAAGACAAAATAGCTCGACTTGGTTCCCAGTTGGATGCCGGTGTGGTTGCTGGTCTGATGGAAGCCCCTGAGGCAGGTTCTTGCTCTGGGAACGGTTTGACCCTGTTGCTCCTGAGGAAGGGGACAGGATCCTAGAGAGTATGGGTGCACCTGTGTTTTAAACCGATGTCCCTCTTGGCTTGGGAAAGCTTCCCAGGAGGTAACAGTGGACTCTGGCACTGATTAATGCTTCCCTACAGGAAGGGGTAGTGCCCCAGCACTTTAAGGAGGCTGTGGTCCACCCTCTTCTTAAGAAGCCATCGTTGGATCCCACCCTGTTGGATAATTTCCGACGTGTCTCCAGTCTTCCCTTTTTTCGGGAAGGTTGTTCAAAAGGTGGTTACACGGCAATTCCAGAGGTTTAGGGATGAAATGGATTATCTAGACCCCTACCAGTCAAGATTCAGGCCTGGATTTGGGACAGAAATGGCATTGGTCGCACTTTTGGATGATCTCTGGTGAGAGCGGGATAGGGGTATGCATCCATGCTTGCTCTACTTGACCTCTCGGCGGCTTTCAATACCATCACCCATGGTATTCTCCTGGGGTAGCTTTGGGGGATGAAAGTGGGAGGCCTTGTGCTATCCTGGCTCACTTCCTTCCTCTGCAGCTGCTCTCAGTCAGTGTTGATAGGAGGGGAAAGATCCAGCCCTCATGCACTGCTTTGTGGGGTTCCACAGGGCTCAGTTCTCCGCTCCTGTTCAAGATTTATATGGAGCCGCTGGGTGAGATCATCTGCCAGCACGGACTGAAATATTACCAATATGCTGATGATACTTAGCTGTATGTCTCGGCCTGTGGTAGGTTAAGCAATGCTATGTCCACTGCTATGCGCAGTGCCTGGAGGCTGTAGGGGCTGGATGGGGAGCAACGGGTGGAAACTAAACCTTGGCAAGACAGAGTGGCTCTGGGTTTGGGGTTCGTTGGCCAAGGGAGAATTGCCACCTCTGGTCTTGGATGGGGTGGCACTACCCAAAACAGACCCTGTGCATAATCTGTGGGTTCTTCTGGAATCACAATTCTTGCTCGAAGAGAAGGTGGCAGTCGTGGCCAGGAGGGCCTTTGCACAACTACAGGTTGTGCGCCAGTTACCCCCCTACCTGGATGGACAATCGCTACTCAAACAGTCACTCATGCCCTAATCAATTCCCGGGCTCTACATGGGGCTCCCCTTGAAGAGCATGTGGGCTCCACTTGGTGCAAAACACAGCAGTCCACATGGTTTTCTGCAGATCCCAGTGTGCACATGTATCACCTCTCCTGCATTATTATTATTAAATAATTATTATTTTGAAATTACTTATTTCTTACAGAGAAAGAAACAATGAAATTTTCTGGTTTTTATGACGGCGATCAAACAGCGGTTGAACCTCTAAATCAAGTAAGAAAAGGAAAAGTTATTAGACTTGTATTCTCACCTTCAGGAAATGAAGTGGGTGTACAGAGTTCTCTCTCCTTCTATTCCTCCCCCCTTGTTTGGACTGGGTTATTTTTGTGTTCTTCCAGAACATGGAGAGCAGAATAGCAGGTTGAAGTTGCTGTCAGCCAGCATAGCTTCCTCTGGTTGTCTTGTTCTGCTAGTTACTCCTCCAAATTTGCCTTTACAAGAAGCACTTCTTTTAAAGTTCTTCAAGAATTAGGAATAAACGTATCACAGTGGCAGGAACTGCTGGACCATCTTTCTTTTTTAATTTATTGACCTCCTAAAGTACAGATTAACAGAGTTGGAAGGGACCTTGTAGGTCACCTAGTCCAACCTCCCTACACCATTTCTGACAGCTGGCAGTCTAGTCTCTTCTTGAAAGCTCCCAGTGATGAAGCTCCCACTGAAGGCAACTTCTGTTCCATGGGTTGATTGCTTTCACTGTCAGAAAATGTCTCCTTATTTCCAGGTTGAATCACTCCTTGTTCAGTTTCCATCCATTATTACTTGACTGGCCTTCAGGTGCTTTGGAAAATAGCTTGACCCCTCCTCCTCTCTGTGGCAGCCCTCAAATATTGGAACACTGTTATCGTGTCTCCCCTTTTCCTTCTCTTCACTAGACTAGCCATGCCCAGTTTCTGCAACTGTTCATCGTATGTTTTAGCCTCCAGTCCCCTCATCATCTTGGTTGCTCTTCTTTGCAGTCTTTCTAGAGTCTCAAGATCTTTTTTATATCATCGCAACCAATACTGGATGCAAAGTTCCCAAGTGTCTTAACAAGGCATTATAAAGAACTAACATTTCATGTGATCCTGATTCTATCCCTCTCTTAATGCAGCCTATGATTCTGTTGGGGTTTTTTTGGCAAGTGTACACACTGCTGGCTCACGTTTAAGCGATTGTCCACTAGGACTCCAAGATCCCTGTTGCACTTTCTACTGTAGAGCCAGGTATCACCTATTCTATGCCAGTGCATTTGGTTTTTCTTTCCTAAATGTAGTACATTACATTTCTCACCATTGAAATTCATTTTGTTAGAAGGTGCCAATATATCAATCCTTCTATATCTCGAGCCTATCTTGTGCAGTGTTGATATTCCTGTCAATTTGGTCTTGTCTGCAAATTTGATGAGTTCCCCTTCTATCCCCTTGTCTAAATCATTGATGAAGTTGATCAGATGTTGTGAATCTGTTCGGTTCTTTTTCCCGTGTTCAGGAGAGTCTTGTGTCCTTCAAGGAGGTGGCTGTGTATTTCTCTAAGGAGGAATGGTCTCAGCTGGATCCTGACCAAAAAGCCCTGTATTCGGAAGTCATGCTTGAAAACTATAGGAACGTGGTTTCTCTTGGTAAGTTTTCTTATCCCATATCAGAGAGTTCAAGAAGACAGATTAAAGTTAGTTTTTTATTTAAAAAATCACTAATCAGATACTGTCTCCTGGGAGGGAGAAGGAAAGGATCTGGCCTTCTGGTACTCCAAGGAAGGAAAGAGTCGGTGTATCTTTGCTGAGATGCTTTTGGGCCATTTCTGAATAGAATAGAATAGAATAGAATAGAATAGAATAGAATAGAATAGAATAGAATAGAATAGAATAGAATAGAATAGAATAGAATAGAATAGAATAGAATAGAATAGAATAGAATAGGCCAAGTGTAATTGGACACAAGGAATTTGTCTTGGTCCATATGCTCTTGGTGTACATAAAAGAAAAGATACATTCGTCAAGAATCATAAGGTACAACACTAATGATAGTCAGAGGGAACAAGTAAGCAATCAAATCATATCATATCAGGAAACAGTCAATATAAATCTTAAGGATATCAGCAACTAGGTTACAGTCATACAGTCATAAGTGGGAGGAGATGGGTGGTGGGAACAATGAGAAGATTAATAGTAGTGCAGACTTAGTAAATCAATCAAGGATTGAGGGAATTATTTGTTTAGCAGAGTGATAGCGTTCAGGAAAAAACTGTTCTTGTGCCTAGTTGTTCTGGCATGCAGTGCTCTATAGCGTCGTTTTGAGGGTAGGAGTTGAAACAGTTTATGTCCAGGATGCGAGGGGTCTGTAAATATTTTCACAGCCCTCTTTTTGACTCATGCAGTATACAGGTCCTCAATGGAAGGCAGGTTGGTAGTCATTGTTTTTTCTGCAGTTCCAATGATCCTCTGAAGTCTGTGTCTGTCTTGCTGGGTTGCAGAACCAAACCAGACAGTTATAGAGGGTGGAGATGACAGACTCAATAATTCCTCTGTAGAACTGGATCAGCAGCTCCTTGGGCAGTTTGAGCTTTCTGAGTTGGCGCAGAAAGAACATTCTTTGTTGTGCTTTTTTGATGACGATTTTGAAGTTAGATCTCTATTTTAGGTCTTTATTTTTCCATTTGTATTTGAATTTATCTGTGGTGGCTGAAAAGAATGAGGTGTGCTTTTATGTGTCCTCTGGAAGTCATGTGAGAGGTATGTGTCGTCAAACCTCCCAAAATTTTGTGAGAACAGAACTTTCATGTTTGGGCCATGGAAGAGCATTCTCCCAATCCAATTCAAGAACAAAGACCTCATGCAGTGTGACTCAGAGCATCCTAGGATACAGGTGATCTCCGAGTTATGACAGTTCACTAAGCAACCGTTCCACATTACGACCTAGCCCTCCCCCCAAGTACTTAAGATTCAGTCCTGAAATTATGTTGCATCAACAATCACCCTACCTGCACCCCCACTGCACCCTGCTGGGACTTTACGAGGATATAGCAAGCCGTCAATTCCTTTGACTGCTTGGATGCATTTGCAGAAAAAAGAGGCCTAAAGTAGTGGGAGATACGCAAGATCAATAGTGGGAAATCTGGCAGTATTGATCTCACATGATCTCACACTACAGTACTTTAGGCCTCTGTTTTCTGCTAACCAAGGCCTGCACGAGATCCAGGCCAAAATCCTTTGGCAACAAAGGGGAGGCCTCTTTGTTTTCAAAGACTTTTGCCCTGAATCTCGTGCAGTACTCAGTTTGTAGGGAACACAGGCCTAAAGTACTGCAGTGCAAGATCACGCGTGATCATTAGTGTGAGATCTTGCACTTCTGGTCTAGTGTGATCTCGCACTAAAATAGTTTAGGCCTCTGATTTCTGCAATCGGAAGCCTGTACCAGATCCGGCCAAAAAGCTCTTGCAAATTGATGAGACTTTGGGGCAGCGAAATAGCCATTCTTGAAGCCTCCCAACCTTTCCAGTCTTTCCAGCGAGCTTTTTTCAAAATGGTTTCAGTTCTCACAGGTGTCTGCTGAAATTAACCCAGCCCAATAAATCTTAAGTTCTCTCCTTATTCGTCCTTGGATGTTTCCC